TAGGCACTACTATAATCTTATTTTACAGATAAGGAAACTGAGGCACAAAGAAGTTATGTAACTTGTTCAGGGTCACAAAGTTTGTCCAGAGTAAGTAGCAGTATTGAGATTTGACAAAAAATCATCTCCTTCCTCACCTCTCAGAAAATCTTCAGTCTTCACCAGTTGTCCCAAGACCCCTACTACAGCACCTTTCCCTTCTCTCTGAACAGATGACTTCACCTGCTTTACAGAAAATAAAGGCTACCAGGCAGACTCCTTCAGTCCCAAGCTTCCACATACACATGTGTGTTGCCTTCCATCCATCTCTACAAAGCATCTCCTCTTCCTGGCATGTAAAGCTATATTAGTCCATTCTCATGCTGCTAATAAAGACATACTCAAGACTGGGTAAACCCATAAAAGGAAAGAGGTTTAACTAACTCACAGTTCCCTAGGGCTGGGGAGACCTCAGGAAACTTACAATCGTGGCAGAGGGGGAAGCAAACACGTCCTTCCTCACATGGTGGCAGTAAGGAGAAGTGCTGAGCAAAACGGGGAAAAGTCCCTTATAAAACCATCAGATCTTGTGAGAACTGACTATCTAGAACAGCAGCATGGGGGTAACTACCCCCATGATTCAATTACCTCCCACCGGGTCCCTCCCACAACACATGGGGATTATGGGAACTACAATTCAAGATGAGATTTGGGTGAGGACACAGCCAAACCATATGAAAAGCTAATTCCTCCACCTAAACCCTGCATTTGCTTCTGCCTCTTAAAGACCCTGACTTATCAAATGCTCTCTCAAAGTTTTATCTTCAAGCTCCCCTCTTCCCCATTCTATTCTAGATCTTCTGCTCAGCTTATAAACATGTTTAAGTATCTCCTGTCATACATGTACAAATGTGTGCTTGTATATCTTCTCTTTTCCCTAAAACAACCTCTATATTCTGCCCTATTTTTCTCTTTCCAGCTACACATTTTAAAAGAGTACATCTTCTATATCCACCTCTCCACCTTCCTTCTCCAACCACTGTCATTGTTCTGGTCTCTGCCCCTATCTACAAGGGTCCATCCAGTTGCTAAATCCAATGGACACTGTACAATTCATCTTACATGATCTATCTTAAGCTTCTGAAACTATTGTGGTTAAAAGCACCACCACAGAAACAAAATACCCAGATTCAAATCTTGGCTCCACCATTTACCATCTTATGAGCTTGGGCAAATTATTCAGTCTGTGAATAAATAGGTTGTATCTGTAAAATAGGGATGATAATAATACCTACCTCATAAGACTGCTGTATGAATTACATACATGGGCTAATATATGTAATGCACTTAGAACAAGGTCTGGTATATAGTAAACATACTATTAATATAAATATCTGCTGTTATTCCCTATTATCATTATTAATATCATGATCATTATTATTGAAACTCTAGCCCTCCTTGGCTTCTACGACACTACTATCCTGGTTCATCTCCTACTTCTGAGAAAGCTCCTTTCCATTCTCCTTCCCAAACTCCTCCAATTCTACTTTACCTTCAATACTGGTACTCCTCATGTCTTTACTTCCACCATCATCTCTTCTCTCTCAAATATCTTCCTAGGGTGCTCTTACCTACTCCTGGTGATTCCAACCTTCTGCTAAATCTATACTCCCACCAGATGTCTTCCTGTATATTCAGACCTGCATATCCAATTGTCCACTAGATATCTCCACAGGCACCTCAAATTCATGTTAAGAACTAAACGCTACATCTTCCAAGACTTGCTTCCCCTCCTGCATATCACATCTCAAAATATTACCACCATCCACTAATTTTCCTAACTAGAAATCTGGGTGTCATTTATAACTCTTCTCTGTCCATTCCCCCTACAATCAGTCACTAAAACCTTTTGATCCTACCTTCTTAATACCTCTTCAACCGGTCCCCTTCTCTCATTTAATTCAGACTCTCATCATTTCCAGGCTTCTAACTGGTTTCCCTCCTAACAGACATGACCCTGTCAATCTGCAGTTGGCAGTCATCTTCCCAAAATGAAAATCTAACCACATCTGTCAACATGCAGCTCCACTACTACCTCTTCTGGAAAGCCATCCCAAACCTCCCCAATCTGAGCTGCATAATTATATATGTTTTTGGAGTTCCTGGAGCATGCATCTATAAACACAGTCATCGTCCTGTATTGCACGGGATACATTTGGCAATGTCTGGAAATATGTAGGGGTAAAAGCCAGAGATGCTACTGAGCATCCTACAATGCACAGGAGAGTCCCTGCAACAAGGAATTATTAGACCCAAAATGATGTTAGTCCTGAGGTTGAGAAACCCTGCCATATTATAATCACCTGACTTCATGTCAATCACCCCTAATAGACTGAAGAATCTCCAGGCAGAGATCATGATACATTAGTCTTTATAAAAGCCCAGTGCCTAATATAATACCTTTCCCACAAGTGACACCCGACACATACATATATGGAAACTGAAGGAACTTTTTTTTCCTTTTTTACTTACTCTGTAGGAAAACTTGAGCTTTCGAAGCTCACTCTCCAACTTACTCTGGTATTGTTCAGTTCCCTTCACATAGCTCACTCCAAGATTTTCAACTGATTTTAACACTAAAAAAAAGAAAAAAGGTACAAATGCAAGATAATGTTTTAAAACTAAATCCAAAACAAAATCTATGGAGGGCAATTCCAAAATTACTTGTTTATAGAATATGACAAGTAATTGCCAGTTTATTTCCTGTAACTACATTATATAAACTATATATGCTTATAAGATGATAATGTCCATCTATGTGCAGAAAATATCCATGTCTCATAGCATAATCTAATACCAGGGATTCTCAATCAGGGAAGAGGGATGGACGGTGAATAATCATTCCTGTACTGAGCCGCTGTTGCTGAGGAACAGAAAAGTATGTCAGTATGGGAAAAAAACTAGGCACTCCTTGTTTGCATCCTTCATCTGTGAGCTGCCTGTTAGGCAGCAGGCGTCATTCACTTGGCATAGATTCAACAGGAAAAAAGCATCCCTTCCTTTCCTGATGAAGCCGAGGACAGGGCACAACAGTGAAGAAGAAGGGCCATCCAATCAGCCAAATGAACCATCCTGAACAGATGCTACATACTGTTCAAAGGTTCCTAAAGCACCTTATCAATCTTTCCTCAGATGAATTATTCTCTGAAGGCATTTTTGAAGTCAAGAATGAAGAACTTCTAATTGTCTCATGAACATAAACTCCATGTCCCACAGGTATGCATATCCAAATTAATTATCCTCCCCTCATTCCTACTCTTCTTCCTCCCATGCCCATCTCCATCAGCAGAGTTTCTATGCATGAGATCATCCAAGCAGGAACTTCAGCCACTCCACGTCTGCTCCCTCACTCCTCATATCCAGTCACCAAATCCTATCCATGTTACCTCTTCAGTATCCCTTAACTCTCTCCCTTCCTATCATTGCCATTGTCACTATCATAGTTCAGGCTCTTATCATTTCACCTCAAGTGCCAAACCCAAGGGACACTTTTCAATCACCGTCTTAATCCCTATGAAGTATCTGACACTGCTAAGCTTTCTAAAACCCTTTTCTCCCTTGTCTTCATTCTTTCATTCAACACACAGGCACTGAGTGCCTCCTCTCTGTATTAGCAGTGCTTACCCTGCTCCTCTAAGAATGATTATCAGTGTCTCACCTTTCATTCTGATTTCCCCACAAGGATATCCTGGAACATAAACTCTGAAGACAACGCTAGTGTTTCTGTTTCAATTCATGTCTAGCCCATTCTTTTCTCTAGCAACACACTGAGGATTAAGTAGGCCCCCAGGACAATGGCCACATCCTTCTTACACCCCGATATCATATCATTAGCATGGCACAAAATGCCCTCCATACTTCTCCATCCACCCTGAATTCCTGAACTTGTTACTGTTACCTCAAATATGAAATTCTCTTTCATGCTCCAAGCCTTTGTATAGGCCATTATGTAAGCTTGGAAAAACTCTTCACTTCTTCTCTGCTGGAAAATTTCTACCCATTCTTTAAGGTCCGGATCACATTTCAACTTCTCTAAGAAGCTTATTTAATCAGACTAAGTCAGTCACTCCCACTTCTTTGTTTCAACAGCACCACCATTTACTTCTAGAGCAGTTAAAATACTGAATTATGACTATTATTTTGGATGTCTGTCTCCATGTACTAGAATACAACTTCAACAAAAAATAACTTTATTTATCTCAAAATCCCTGCCACCTAGAACATAATGGCACTCAATAATATGCACTGTACAATAAGTAAATGAATGAGTACCAAACCCTCAACAAATATTTCTTGAATGGATTGCTGAATGAAGGAAATGAATTATCTCAATAAATATTTGTTGAATGGATTGCTGAATGAAGGAAATAAATTACCTTCATTCATTCTCACAAAGGGTAAGTTTCTCAAGAATATATACATTCTAATTTAAATAGTACTTACATTTAACTCTATCAATAGCCAAGTTTTCAAATTCTATTAAAGATATGTTTTCAGAAGGTGGCTGCAAGTAAAACTGAAGGCAATGAGGGTAGGAAGCATTCCTCTGGTCACCTGCCAATCTCGGCATCCTCCACTTTTTTTTGGAAAACTCCATCTTGGTCACCTTAGAAGGAAGCATATAAAAAGCATAAAATTATGGAAAATAAAGTTGGAAAAAGAAAACACGAAAAAATAATTACACAAACAGAAAAAAAAAATGGACTTGAAGGCATGCACAAAATGTTAGCAGTGGCAATTCCTGGGTGATGCCCTTCTCTCTTTTCCAGATTTTCTACAATACACCTATAA